GTTTGTAGGCCCATGGCATTCCAGGCAATACCTGCTTCTGTTTGCAGTATCCTCTCCAGCAGGTCGTCATATCCTGACCTATTACTGCAACTTGCTCGAATGATTTGTATACTTTCATATCGAGGACGTGGTCATGAGATGATCCATCCCTTCTCATCCCATGACTTCTATTGGAGCTTGGATGCGTACCATCCTTGATGTTTATCAGTCCTCTCCCACGGATCGTGTAACCATCTTCATGACAAAATTCGTGTTCTCATATCAGGTCTCGCTGCATTTGATGTCAGAATCATCGAAGAATTGAAATGCATACAGGGAAAACCAAGGAACGTATATGATGATTGAAGCCGGCGGAGAGGACTATATGGGACCTATGGGGGAAGGGGGCCGGACGGAATTCCGATTTCGATCAATACCTTCTCTCCCTCATTCACACACATTCTCTCTCACCCTCCATCACCGTCCCTCATGAAGACTCGGGTGGCTTGGCCATCACTGTGGCAATCATTTGCAGACATGAAGAAAAAACTTCGTCGTCACTAACCCACATGCAGATGACAAGTAGAGGCAAACAGCCCATCAATGCTTTCCTTTCCTTCGCTCTGATGGGACGGTTGCAAAATCACCGCCGAGATTGCCGCGATCACGCGAAACGTACTGCAGGCATACGAGTCCCTATCATGTTTCAGACATGGCATTCGTCTCCATATCCATCTTTGAGTATATATGACGAAACGAGGCCGAGAATGTTTTGGCACTGCTGCCAGATTTTCATGGGAATCTTGCTCTTGGCTATGATGGAGTGAAAGCTTGAATTTTGTTGATGTCCTTGCTCCAAACGGGGGAAGGGGGGGGGAGGGATTGGAGGAAGGAAGGAGTTTCTGGGCGAGTGAGCCCCTTGTGAGAGTCACTCTCATGCATCTTCATCTGTCATGAAGCCCTGGTGAAGATGACGTTACCAGGCCAGACCATCCCAGTTTCAGTCGAGTCGGTGACGAAGCGTAGTTTTCTTATCTATCAATGACTAAGTTCGCGGTTTCCTAGTCTCTGAATTTTTAGTCTCCCATACTGTATCTTCGTAGACAAAACGAAAAAAATGAGATTGTGGCTGGAATTGTGTTTATGGAGCTACTCGTTTCAGAAAAATGCTAAGATGCTGAGAGATATACTTTTTGTATATTGACGTCTACAAATTCAGATTAAAAAATCAGTCTAAAAAGATATAAACAACGCATGCAATCACAGGCATCCCAGCAAACATAGTAGCGTTGTGGGAACGTTCCCTTAGAGTCCATACAGAGCAGGAAAGGGAGGACTCTTCCTTGGAAAGTACTCAAATTAGTACTTTCAGAACAATAAATATACTCCTTTGCCGTCAATATTGACGCAATATTAGGGTGTCACTTGGGTGAGAGTGAGCTTTCCAATAAATGACATTGCAATGTTGGCCCAACGTTCAGCTAGTGTTAAACTTCAACGTTCATAGGCATACTAATCATTTGTATACTATAGCGTTTTTCATTTGTACCTGACAACTTTTCGTTTGACTTCGGCACTCATACATGAGAAGCGTCTCATGCGCGAGTGTGACTCAAGTGAAAAACACTGTACACGAGGCTAACTGGAGCCTCGCTTGGATCTCCAAAACGTTCTCAACAAACCCTCTCAGTACCACGCCTCTATCGCAGCGGTTTTCAAACTGTGCCACGGCACTCAAGGGTGCCACGAGAAGTAAGCAAGAGTGGCATGGGTGTTCAAAGAAATTTATTTTGGGCCTTTCAACAAGGTAGTACAATAAGGCCAGGCGTCTACAACGCTACTAATGTATTCGAGTAGCACTATGCGGAGCGGGCAAGAAACCTCTACTGAAGAACCGCTTCTAAAGTGAGACACTTCTGGCTTGATAGATATTTCCTTAATAAAAGTGCACACCAGGAGTATGCAATATGAGTCAATTTCGATCATAACTGACTCATATTGCGTACATCCGGTATGCACCTTTACGAAGAGAATATCTTTCAAGGAGGAAAGTCAAGATCAATATTGTTGCTGCAACAGAGATACAGATTCTTTTCCGCTACCAGATATATATGCCTACCGTTTCTTATTTTTGGTACTAAAAAAAGAGTTCATGTCCCGCCCAAGGATTACAAGTGAACTGCTTGAGGTCACTTCAAAATGTGACTAGTATCTTGATTTTTAGGACAACCAGGCAGGCGCAGGTGTGAAAAAAAAAGTTTGAAGACTTTTTTTTAACTATGATTTTTCCAGGTGACAGATCAAAATAAGCCTGTCATGCATGAATTCAGAGGTCCTGGTTAGGCATATATATAATTGTTTTTGCCAATATCATAATATTGCTAATATTGGAGGTTCGTGGATGTGCAGGGGTGCCGCCGACATCTCACTGACTGGAGAGTGTGCTGTTACAAATAAAAGATTGAGAACCGGTACCTATCGTATGGAATTCTGTCTCCGCAAACCAACACAACAACGTAGCACTGAAGTTTCCCTCCATTCATGTTCCTCCAAAACGTTGCAAACCCCCTCAAATCTGAATACCAGGACATGGACCACCTGGCACTTCCATGTCACCAAGCTGCCATCAATCGTGCCTGACCATGATTTATTCTACAACACTTGTCCTTGCCCGAGTTCTGCTGCTCCTCCTTATTTAGCTGGTTACCACTGCCTTATTTGTCTTGTTCCTCAGGGTTTTCATTGTGGAGCCACCAACTGTGTCTGTTTCCACCTGTTGTATTAAGTATATTGATGAACTCTTAGTTTATGTGTCTTGAGTAGTTATTATTACTTCTTAACATGGTGTCAAGAGGCAGCAGAAAACGGGGCTCGCGCAGCTGTAATTCCACCTGTACCGTAGGAAATACGTATTGTTGCTCCAAATGCGCACTCCAATCAGGATCATGGCTACCTCATTAGTGGGTAGTCAGCGTGGAGCCACAGTGTGCCGCCTCGTGCGCCGTTTCATGCTGCGTAGGCCTAGATCTCAAGCGAAACGACAGAGAATGCAAACGTTAGGCCTTGCAGTCTTTTCATTTCATTGGTTTTGGTCTAAGAACAGTTGCATGTTATCGTAAGGTAACAGGAAGCAATTGTACGTTGGTCGTATAGGTAAAGTAACCGATCTTTGTGTTTTTCACTTGAGTTAGACACTTTTTCACTTGACTTCGACACCCACGCATGAGGAACGTCCCATACACGTGTCTGAGTCAAGTGAAAAACACTAATTCGTAAATGGATTGAAAAGTAGACAATATTTTTACAGTGTTTTTCATTTGACTCGAACACTCGTGCATGGGACGTTCCTAGACCTACAGTTCAGGAACGGAATAAATTGGAAACTCGTTTACTCAAATCCTATCAGGATTCGAAATTTCACTTATCTCGAAGTTCAGTGCTTGGTCCCGGTAGAATCCCGTAGGACACCAAATGTTAAATATTCAGATTTTTCACATTTGTTCATCTCGAATTTCTGATAATTTGAACCACATTTTCATTCCCAATTATGATTTTTTTGTGTGCTAAACTTGAAGTTATTTCGAATTTGAAGTGTGAAGAAGGAAAAAAGGGTTTTATGGGCTTTTGTGGGACTTAGCAATTTTTTGAACAGGGTGATAGGAAAGAAACCTGTTCAGGAGAAAGTGCTTTTTCAAGAGTTTGTATTTTTAAGGGACCAATGGCTGTTGAAAGGAATATGAGCCAATAAGGGTCTATTTTAACCCAAATTTTGGCCCTCTACAGGTATGCTTCATGTATACAGTAATGTGAAGGTAAATAAAGGTTTGAATAAAAGACCATGTTTTAGGTTTTCGTGTAGTTTCCTTATTGAACAAGAAATGTAACAACTCAGTAGCTAGAAGCAAAAATTACATTGTGATCAAAGGTTTTGAGCTTAACCAACTGATATCTTTCATACCTTCCCTATATACAGGGTGTAGCAAAGGAACAGGACACATTTCAAAATGAAATATATCTGCAATGGATTAACATATTTACAAAACATAATATTTCATATATTTAAAAAACATTTTTTAATTGCAAACTGAACATTAAAACTGAAATGCAGGCCATTCCCAGTAACTTTCTCAGTAAGGTTGTGAATGACATGTCAGAGCACGAGAATGTGCTGCCCGTGACAGTGGTCATTTGACTGACATTATTTTCAAAAGCTAGTGTATTCATTAAAAACTCCCAAGTTTGCAGTTTACAAATGTTTTTGAAATATGTAAACCATTACAGAAATATTTCATTTTGAAATGAGTCCTGTCCTTTTGCTACACCCTGTATCTTTGGTTACACAGAAGCCGCAGCAACAACAACAAAGGCTCTGATAACACCTCATGACCTTAGGCATGTTTCAAAGTGTTTCACTGAAAAAAAGAAGGTAAAAATTGAAATTTTAACTCAAGTGTGTGATGTTTTGTATCAAAAAATCTTTGCTAATTGATTTTCCATGAAGTACATTCTCCAATCAATTTATCTCATGGAACTCTAAATTTGATTACTGAGTATCTGCCTGTCAAGTATGAACTTGGTTCTTTTCTGTGGTTCTTGTTTAGTTCAGGGCCTACAAACTAAACAGAAAAAGTAATTTCATTTATCCTGTTTAGTTTCATTTAGAGCTAACTGGAGATGATCTGAATCTGGAGGTAGGACTACACTGAGACAAAGCTGGATGATAAGGAGCCATCAGATAAAAATCTGTCAATCCTTGATTTTGAAAAGGTTATCAACCTGGCAATCTATTCTGTTGTATGCTAATGAGAAAAGCTTTTTCCTTGTCTGTATATGATGAACAATGGCTTCAACTTTGTTGAATGTAAACCTTAGGCCTAAGTATGAATAGGCTGGGTATAGGTCCTAATGGTGCTCAGCCTAACCTTTTGACTGTGTGCCTTTTTTTCTAAGCAGGTGGTCAGTGAACACCCAGGCCACTGTGCTCAGACCTGTAGGTCTGACTGCTCCAAGGCCTGCTTATAATGGTGGTTAATAATGAGTTCAATAATACTGCACAAACAGAAGATGCTAGTACAAAGTGTGGAGAGACTGAAGACAGTGTTGAACATTCTGATCACAATACTGGAGGCAGTGATCCACCACAGCCAAATGACACCGAAAGTATGCCTAACATTAGGCATCCTTCTCCAATAGAAGAGGAAGGAGAAGAGAAAGCAGCATTCTCTAGCACTAATCCTTGTCAGGATTATTCTGTGCATCCTGCAGAACAGGTTGATATAGAAGAACATTGTGATGTAAGTCAAGGAGATATGATAGGTGATAGTGTTGTTGCACATGAACCTCCTGCAACTGAAGAGCATGATATCCAACATAACAAGAGTCATCACAGGTCTTTTAAGAAGAGCTTTTCCTTCCTCAAGAAGTTTGCTGAAAAGATTCATAAAAAAGACTCTTCTCCATTGCCAAAGGGATCCACTATTAAGAATGACAAATCTAAGCTTGAAGATGAACAGGTTGAGAAAAATGCTCAAGATGAGGTATTAAAGGAACCTGTGGGCAATCTAGCTGAATCTTTAGAGCATGGGAATGCTTCACCTCTTGAAAACATTGACAATGAATCTCACAAGAGCCACAAGACTTCTGCCTTCATTGAGAGTTCTGAAGTTCCTGCTATACGAGTTGAAAGTGGGACCCCTGATTCTGATGAACCTCATGAAAATTCAAACCTACATTTGGAAACTGAGAATGATGGCACTTACTCTGGTACAGTTGAGGCCAATTATAAGGAAGATCCTCTTCAGGACCAGAAACTGCCTGGAAAAGTTGCAACTGCTATCAAGAAAGGAAAGACACGAAAATCAGTTATGTGGAATCTTAAAAAGAGACTGCGTTCCAGAGGACATGCAGTACCTGAGTCTGAGGAACTTCATGGGACACAACTGTCAGATAGGGCCAGGGTTGAGAAAGAAGATGAAGAGTCATGGATACCAGAACCTTCTTTAAAGAATGATGATGAAATCCAGGATGTCTTGGTTGATAGATCAAGTTCTGACTCCCTAACAAGACTAAATGAAAAGAGAAGTCAAAATACAGAGGATGAGGATGACAAGATGATCTATGATAAAATTGAATACCCTGGATCAAGATTCACCAACAAGACTGTTGAGGACAATGATAATCTTTTTGGAGTTGTTATCCATGAGACAGGTCATCTAGCTGAAAAGTCTGTCTCTCGTTCATACTCTGTAAAGCTGCATATATTAGATATGGAGACAGGGCAGTACTTCCCAAGAAGACATGCAGATGATGGCAACAGAACATTACCACCTCTGATGACACAATTTTGCAAGTTGACATGGTGAGTATTTCAAATATTCAGATCAACCTAGTGAAATATTTCAGGACTTATTGTCAGATGCACCTTTCGACAAGGCATTGGACATAGACAAGTCCCATTCAGAAGGGATGTGGGTTATTTAATTTCTTATTTTAACTTTCACTTTCCCAAGATTAGAAAAATGCAAATAGCCAACGAGGACACAAAATGTCCCCATTTCTGCATTTCCACATGTACATATGTCTCCATTCTGTGCATGTTATATTTCTGTAACAATTGAGCAAGACATAAAAAAAAAATTGTTCTTACTGTTTGATGACTATACATGGCAAGGTATAGCAAGAAGTAGACTGACCAATATATCTGATCAGTCCACTGAAGCTATTTCTTCTAAACCTTTCTCTGTGCACAGATGAATATGTTTCTGACACATCTTCAATTTTTTTTCTTCAAATTCTTCTATTGAAGGCAAGGCATGAATAAAAAGGAGCGGATGGCAACATGGGCAAGAGCTCATGCTGGTAGTGGAGTGGACTGTGGAGGACAAGTTCTCTACTTGCATATTATAAAGGCTAAATTCAGCTTCTCTTCCATTGAAATTTATTTTCTTAATGTGGCTGTTTCTTGCAGATCATTTTAATGAGTCTCATTCCAGTCAATGACAAATGAATCAATTAGTATTAAAACCGTATGTTTACTCAAAGTTCATCCTGATTATTTTCCTTGGTTTGCATAAGAGGACAAGACAGAAGGGATTGGTAATTGACTTGGATTTCTAATCCTTTTTGAGTGCACTTCCCATTTTCAATTTCAGATTTATTTTGAATAATTGCCCTTTGCCTTACTTTGGCAAAATCAAATTAAATGACATTTTAAAATTTGTTGAGAGCATATTAATCTAGTACAGTGCACATATTGTGAAAATGGCTCTGATGAGAGCAGAGATGCACAGGTTAAAAGTAGTTGGTATTTTTTTCCTTTTTTACTATACCCTGTATATGGGCTACTCCATGTATTAATGATAAAGCAAAGGTTAAGCACTTAGTGAGATGATCTCCCCATTCTAAGACATCTCATTCAGTTGCTGCCTTGTCTTGGATTTCTCCTTCCATTTCATTCTTTCAAAGTTTACCATTGTTGACCTTTCTTAATAATTGGCTCTTTTAATTCCTGGGTTCTTCTTGGATGCTTTTTACTTTTAAATTTATCCTATTTTGTAGACTGGTTTGTATGCTCACAGAAAAACTGTCTTGCTAGTTTCATCTCTTATTGGTGGATCCTACATCTTTTAGGAACCGTGCACCTTGTTGGGACGAGGTGTTGGTTGTGGATGAAAAATGTTCATACATCATGGAAGAGACTTCCTCTGTAATACTCTTGTTTGAATTGTGCTGCCATGACTTGAACAAAGCAGCAGAAGGTCATGAGGCAGGTTTGTGCTGTTCCTTGCTACCATATGGTTTGGAGATGGTGCTTTATATATGAATCTATTTTGCCATTAATTTTTTTCTTTTATTTTTTCAGGGAAAGTTCCAGAGATGGAAAGTCTGGCATGGTCTTTCCTTCTCATGTCCAGCCATAATGGTCAGTCTAAGAGAGGACATCGCATGCAGTTGCAACTTTACAGACCTCCAAGGATGACCCCAAGGATAAGGCCTAAATGGGCCAGTTCCACAGAAAATGAAAAAAAGGTACTTGCATGTCATATGAAGGTTTAGTATCGGTTAAAGTTTTTGGCATCTTTAATACTAAACATCATCCATGGCAATGAAAAATTGTACAGTTAGTTTTCTTTACTAGCAGTTATGGCAGTTAACTTGTTGGAGAGATGGAGTATTGCCACTAAAAAAAACAAACAATAGACAGAAAGAATATGAGACTATTATCAATCAATCAATCTTCCCCAAGTTCATGGATTTATTGGGAGCCTTAGGTCTACCATGAGATTTGCCCTTCACATCACCATCCTAACCAAATTTATTCTCTAGTTGTCAAATTAACTTTTTGTGCTGTGTATGTATTTTGCATTCCTGGTGGGATTGATGCTGTCCTTTCATGATTGTATAACATTTCTTAATCCACTTCACTACCTATGTTTCTTCTGGACAGATGTCATTATGAATCTGAATCATTAAAACAAAAGTGAATTTGTTGAGTTACTGGATCAAAATCACTTTGCCTTTTATTTTTAATATCATTAATGCTTAAAAAGTTATTTATTTTTTTCTATGCCATTCATTCACAGACACCCTATAAATTTGCAAAATACTTGGTATGTTTCCAGATTCTTTTACATCCTGGGTGAATATTTTCTTCATGAGGACCAGCTGACAAGTTCATGGCCTAAATAGAAAGGAGTAAGCATAGAGTAATCTAACTTCAACACTTTTCAACATAGTCCCCTTGGACTTATATGCACTTATTCCACTGGCAGTAAAAGGCCATCATCCCTTTCTTGTAGAATGATACTTCCTGCTTGTTGCACCAGTCCCTCACAGCATCTGTAATCTGTCCATTATTGTTAAAATTCTTGTCATGAAGGTACTACTTCATCCAAGGGATGAGGTGAAACTCAGAAGAGTCTAAACCTGACAAGCAAGGTAGGTGGATAAGCAGTTGAAAGCCACTGTCTTCAATGGCACTCAATGCAACTTTTGTGTGCGAGGGCATTTTTCACAAATATGTAATCTTCCTTGAAATGAAATATTCGAGGAAAAAAAAGTATTTAAATGAAACTTGGTAATTGACATGACAATGGATAGTTTTTCTCTCAAAAGTGTGTTTGACTATGTCGAATTTCCCATTCCTAGTTGGGATGAGAACTTTTCATCTGACCTTGTATGTACACAATTGAATCTGCAAAAAATATACAAAATAGATTCAAAGTGGATTGTCATTTGATTCCCTGACAGAAAAGGAATCATACATAACCTATGTGAGGAATGATTTTAACATTAGGTTTTTATTGGCAAGATTCTCAGCAAAATGGAGACCAGGTAACCGAAATGTATTATATGGTTTATGGAATAAGAACTTCAAGGAAGTGATTATTGTAAGACCAATAAGAGGCTAAGGGTAACACTGCAACATCAATACTGTTGTAATGAAACCAGATACATTCTTAGATTTGGTTCCTAATTCGTGGTTTCCCCACAAAACAAACGAGCAAATTGCTCTTATATTTTTTCATCCCTTTCCACTTGTTTTCCTTGTAAATTTATCTTCCTCACAGTGGCACAACCAGACCTAAAGTTTAGGGGGGTTCGAAGTTCTCATGATCTGTCTTTCAAACATCTCCGAATGCAAGAAGGCATTATCAAATTATATGTACTCAACAAAAACATGAATTAAGGTGAGCATGTGAACAAAGAAAATGAAATGAAGAAAAATATCATGAAATGGTGGAAATGGAATTTGAACTCTAAATGATAAAAGCACGTTCTATATCTGAAAAAGCTTAAAATGAACTAAATTAATTTTGGGATTCATCACAAATATCACAGCACAGACTTATAACTGAAAATTTGTTAACTTATACACAATTCACGCCTTTTATTTGAATTATCGTCCTTCCGTTTTCAGAAAAAATTAGGGTAGCATCACATGGGCAGGACATTTCCATCACAAGTTCACTTTACTAAAGTGAGTAGCTACATGTGACTGGCTTGGCCCTAATTTTCCCCTCCTATCTTTATGCCTTTCCAGCCCCCCCTTTCAGGTCATTTGTTCATGATATCTTTCTGTATCCCCCACCCTTGGGGAAGAGGGGGATGGAGAAATAGAGATACCATCCTGAGCAGGGGTTTTGGGGGGTTCAAACCCCCTGATTCTCCCCTTGGTTGTACCCCTGCTTCCTCAGCTTAAAATTTTTTCTTGTAAGCATTGCTCAGTCCTAACTCCTTTAAAGATAGAAGAGCCTCCCTCTGGAAATTTCTATTGGAACCCAGATGAGCATATCAATATCCTGCTTCAGGATCTTTTATGTTAATACTCAGATGTATGCAAAAACAGTATGTTAAAAGTTCCAAATAGCATATAAGTTTCTTCATCATGTTTTAAAGACATACAGACATTTTCACCCTCATCAAACATGAACCAACTGTTTTATCCATGTTATCCTTTCAAATTTCAAAGAAGAATCAAGCAACCAAGGCTTTTGAGCCCAGATATGCATTAACCCAACCTGGATCTATCTGAATATTGGACTTCTTTAACTTTTCTAGCTTCTGAGGATAGTTGGAGGGACATGGTCTTAAAGAAGCACTGCTGCCTCTAAATAGCATGATTTCAGGTGTACTTATGCTCATGTTTACAATCCACCTTTCTTTCTGGCTCTCACTCTTTCCAGATTTTCCATTGGTGGACCTCAAAATCTCGCATGAAATATCCGAGTACTTTGAGTGTCACAGTCAAGGGTGTCCCTTATGGTTTGGCAAGGCAGAAGTCCAGCAAAGCACTCCTACATCTTCGAAAGGGTTCATCATCATCTGTAAATGAGAGACATGGGACGCCATTACCTACAAGAAATGTATATATTTTCTCCTTTTCAGATGTAGTTTTGATTCCCATCCCTATACATAGTTATCACTTAATTTAAAGAGATATGCTAATGTAGAGCTCTGGGGTATTGAATTCAGCTTATGAAGGGCCCAATGCGATTACTCAAGGTAGTGAAGGGTCCACAGGGCAGAATGTGTTAGAAACTCAATCAGCCCTTTCTATTGGGTCTATCACTGACCTCTCTCCCCACCCCCCTTGTCCACTTCCTAGTTTGTTCCACTTCTCTCAACAAGCTTGAAAATCCTTCAAAGCTGTCCATTCTCTTTACATATCTTGCATTATCTATCAATTTGTGTAGAGTCTATTCAAAGGAGGCTTTGACTGTATATTCCAGTTTTTAGTCCTACTTTATTTACAATTATTTTTTCTGTATTTCGTATTTTCTATGACATTATTATGTCATTCAGCCAGATCTAAAAATCTCCATGAGCTGGAACTGGACACTCACACCTTTGTATTGGCAAATGAAAGGCAGCCATTTATGTATTGTTCTTGTTTTCTATTAGGAACATCCCAATGAAGGCAAAGCAGACATTGAATCTTCTATTAAGTGGTCTCGTCTACCCGGTCAGAGTTGTCGAATACCAAATTCACAGTGCCTTAGTCTATCAGCAGGAAAGAAAGGTTGCACTGCTCTTGCCTTCAGTCACAATGGTCTTTATATGGCTGCTGCCTGTCATGATGAAGATTCCTTTCCAGTCAAGATCTTCAAGGTGATGTCTATGCCCTTGCTTATTTTGTTCTACATTATATCGCATTCACTTAATTCTTCATTTTCTATGGTTGTCTTCATAGATTCCTTCAGGAACATTGCTGAAGACTATTTCACATCATTCAGGCATAATTTACTCTCTCCATTGGTCCATGGATGATAACCTACTTCTATCTGCTTCCAGTGATGCCACAGCACTTATTGCCTTCATCAATTCTGATTCTTTCATGGTTTGTGATTTTTTTAGAGCTCTCTCTGGAACTAAAACTTTTTGCATTGCCCTAATTGTACTGTCTATTGCTCTCTTGTAGATTCTTCCTCACCCATCATTTCTGTACACAGCTGTCTTCCATCCTTGCCATCCAAGCATTGCTGTGACAGGCTGCTTTGATCATGTCATGCGCATCTGGTCCCTTCCTCTGAAGCCAGATAGAATTCCCCTAGTAAGTCCAAAAGTATTTTAAATGTCCCATAGCCATTACCCATGCTTCATTGAATACAGGAACTGTTTTAGTTGAAGTTGACTTGGGTCATTCTGGGTGATTCACATATACACTCCCAGCAAAAAAAATAGGAGCACTAAAAATGAGCAATGCTACAGCAATCAAACCTTCGGCATTTATTGGAGACATCGAGGTATGCAAATGATCACTCACTCTCCAATATCTGACATCCTAGTGGTATGATACAATCATGTGACCACAATGCAGTTAAACTCGGTATGGCCTGATACAACCTGCCAAACACTCCCAGTGGCCTTCTACCTTCAATACCATGTGATGACCACATGATTGTATCGTGGAACTGGGATGTCAGATATCGGAGAGTAATTGATCATTTGCATACCTTGATATTTCCAATAAATGCCCAAAGTTTCTTTGCTGTAGCACTGCTTGTTCTTGGTGTTCCTAATTTTTTTGCCAGCAGTGTAAATGAAAGTGAGAATGAATGCAATTGGAGTTTTTCAGACTTGTACCATATGCAGATGCTGGTACTTTAATAACATGTTTTCCTCTGTCCTTTCTTGCATCAGCTTCTGATCTCTGGTTATTAAAATTCTTGGTTCTTGTTCCTCTTGATCTGTGCTGATGCATCTAACATTGACAGGAATGAAATTTTGCTGAACTACTCAGCATGAGTACATTTTATGCATGGTTTTGTCTCTTCTAGGTACTAGATTTTGGCTTCAACAATGTGATTGATTTGCTTTTATTCTATCACAGCTTATGCTGGAGTTGGATGGGCATTTGGGATATGTCACATCTTTGTGCTTCCACACAGATGGAAGTCTCTTATATTCTGCTGATAGTAAAGGTGCAGTTGGCATTTGGGAAGGAGATTGGAAGCAAGGAACTGTCACCCTAAAGAGGTAGAAACATCCATAATGCTATTTGATTGCTGACATAATAAAAAAGTAATCATGTAGTAATTTTACTATTACCATTTGGTATTGTTGGTCATGATTTCTTTTTCATATTTCTACTGCAGACTTTTCTCTCTAAGTGAGATGGCTGGTGTTGTGATCAACCATCTTATGCTGTATCCAGGAGGGCGTCGCCTCCTGCTTTGCTGCAGGGATTCCCAGATGGTCATGCTTGACACAAAAATGTTGGGAGTGATGCAGACATATAAAGGCTTCTTGAGTTTTAAGTAAGTGATTGTTAACTTGGTTCAAGATATTTATATGGAAAATTTCAAGGTCTGTGAAGGTGGTGGCACACAAGTATCTTTCATTAACTTTCCTGCTGCACAGTGCTTGGGAGTTTGGATATCTCTTCCTCCAATCTAATCCACAAATGTTGCATACATGTTCATATTCCTCTCAACTACCTTGTTAATCATTTTGGAAGAAATATGACTTTCTCTTGCCCCTACTTCCTAGCAATGCCCAAAGCATTTAAAGGTCATTAAAAAAGCAATGTACTTTGCCTGTTTTTTTAAAGCCATTTTTCTATACAGCTGCATAATGTTGATTAATTCATTGCAGAGAAGCAGTTGGATGTACCATCACCCCTTGTGGCACATACATCCTCTCTGGAAGTGAGGATTCTATCGTCTATGTCTGGAATACAGAAACTGGGGAGCTGGTGGCTCGTTACAACTCACTTTCATTTGCAAGGACTGTTTGCTGTGTTGAGTTCCATCCACATGATAACTATGTTGCCTTTGCGTCTGTTGAGAAGCAAGCACCAGTTCAGGTATATTTTTATAAAAAATCTGATTCTGACTCTGATGCAATCATGTTGGTGCCACGGCAAGTGAGAGATGCAAGTGGATCTTGGTACTTGAGAAGACCAAGTGTATCAGATTTGGAATTAGAGAATGACATTAAGGCTTTCTACAATCCTGTTCGAAGAAGAGCAACTCTTGAGATGGATCCTGGAGAGAGTGAAAAATGGCATAGTGTCCTCAGAAAGATTGATGCTGTGATAGCAATGGCTAAGTATCCTCTACGAGCTGCAGCTCCTTTTGGCTATAAGCAAGAGCATGAACTGGAGGCAGAAATGTGGGAGAAACCAAGAAATGGGTATGTGTCTGCCACTCATCCATTCTTTGCTGTCAAATCAGATTGTTGATGGAAATATTTCATTATGTTATGTCTTCCTGAACAGTTTCAGTGAGCAAAAAGTATCTGGATTCCATATGGAAGATGAAAAAACTAGAGGCAATATGTCAGGTTAGTCGTTCCCAATCCTTGGCATCATCTGATCCATGTCTATCCAAGTCTTTGACAATATAACTTTTTTAACCCATACTTAATCAGAAGTGTCTCTGTTGCTATGATTCAACAAAAATAGATAATCTATATTATAGATTATCTATTACAGAGATAGATTACAGAAACCACTTGATAAGACTCCTCCAGACTCAGAAGCACTCCTGACCCTCACCCATGTTTTTTCTTTGTGGGTAAAAATGATAGAGATGCTTTCTTCCCCATAAAGATAAGGGAGTGAAATGTGTTTCTTGTGGTAGCCTCCATCCAAATGCTATATTTCTTATATTGGTGTGAAGAGCCAACATTGGTTCATGTCATGTCACATTTGGTGAACCACCATCCCCTTTTTCTAAGGAGAGTCAATGGTATTAACATGTTGACTGCCTAGGATTTAATTGCCCAGCCACCCTCCTTGCTATGAACGGCCATACTGAAAACACCACATTGATGGTGTCATGCAAGAAGGCCCTATTTGTACTGGGGCTGGTTTTTCAGGAAAGTGAGAAAAGGCATTCAAATTCTTTAAATCACTGCAACTTGTCACTTGCTTTCATATCGTAAGTGTGCAATTGGTAAAATCATATTTCTTAAACAAAACAAAAACAAATATAAATAGACAATAAAAGATGACAAGGCATGGTGTAAGAAAAAATGTTATGAAAGGGACACTGAGATCTTGCATAGCACCATTGGTCTGGTGTGAACAGCAGTCCAAGTTTTAAGAGCAAATAGAACATTCTATCTGCCAGGAAGTGTTTATGCCCTTCCAATTGTGATATCACTTTTGTTGTAAGCAGATGAGGCAAATGGTCTATGATTTCAACCTTACTAAATATTCTAATTGATTAGGATTGCTATTATATATGCAGCCAAGAAAGCATGCCAAACATGTACAATCTTTGATCTCAATTACACGCTGAACTTCAAATGTGAACAATTTTCTCATGTCCAGGTCCTATCATACAGAGACCAAGACGAAGGCGAAGGCAGACAAAGCCTTCAATTCAGGTAAGGAATAACTACTCCTGAAGCAGAGAGAGAGAGAGAAAGCTAGTTAAAATGCAATATATATAGCCATGGATATCTTTCAATGTGGAAATTTAAACATAATGTATTGAAAGAATAATCCATAGGATTAAAGGTCAGGCATGCATTTAATCTTAAATCCTAAAGGTCATGTATACTTGCAGAGTCCACATTACCATTAACATCAATTAAGAGATGGGAGGCCATAAAATATTGCTTATAAAATCTCCCCATTAACTTATTTCAGCTAGCTTTCCAGAGCTGCTTCATCTTATTACTTGTAGAGAGGTTTGGGGGGGGGGGGGGGGGGGGGAAAAAAANGGGGGGGGGGGGGGGGGGGGGGGGGGGGGGGGGGGGGGGGGGAACATAAAGACTGTTCATTTTTGTGAAAACTCTTCACTCCTACTGATACCCTGCTGCTTAGGGAAGGACTTAGCTCTGAATTGGCAATATTCACAGGTTGTTGACTTTAGCAACCAGCTAAAAGTGAATGGAGTAGGAACAGATGCATCCAGAAAGTAATTCTTGAAATAAGATGTTGCTATTAATTACTGTAATACCTGACTTCAAATTGTTTTGTTTTATGATCTTCAAGGGTTTTCATTCTTGAGGTTCTTTTTCCTGATGAAAACTGAGGAAGTGATTGTTGACTAATGCAAAGACCCAATGTGGCCCATCCCAGCAAGCTTTTATTTTTGTCTTCCGTTTAATTGCATCTTCCAGAGAAGCCTAATGTACCAGTATTGTGGACTACCTGTGATGGTCATGCAGGTCCCAAGGACATTAGGATCCTCCATTTCAAGTGTATGCTTTCTTCAGACTGATCCCTTGATTCATTGAAATACTGCTTTTACTTTTTTTTTCTTTGTAGGGTGAAGCTGTGGATGAGGACATTCCAAAAAAATCACCTGACTCTGTTTTCGGGAATGAGCATGAGGTCCTAATGCATCCAAATCCTAAACCTCGTCGTAGGAGGCGACAAAATATTGATTCCTCATCAGGAAACTTGAATGAAGCATTCCAGCCTGAAATTGATGAAAGTACAAATCATATCTAGTCTATTTGGACCCTTCTGAAGGGGTTTATCTCATTGTATTTTTGAGATCTCAATTTTGCATGCCATTAAGTGTGATACAAAACATAAAATCCATCCATTTCCATTGTGATTAATTCTACTGTGACTTTTGGCTAGTCTTGTGCATTTTATAAGGTTGACTTTCATGTATCTTGGATACATATTTCTAGTTTGATGGTGGAAAAAAAAGTCTCAAAATCCAGGAGCATTTTTCATTTTGGTGTGTTTTAAGATGCATGGGTACATCCTCTCAATTATTTACTTGTGTTTTATTTGTTGTTTACCTTTTTCATGATTTTTCTAACCTGGCAAATTGCTGATGACAATTGTGATGAAGAAAGTGGAAGGAGGATTTATTTAATTTCTCTACACATGGATCTTTTCTACCACTTTGCTTATTTGCTGTCAATGAATATCATCTTCTTTCATTGGTAACAACTGTTTTGGAATCTTGATTTTTTTCAACACTATATTGGTCTAGTTTTCTAGATTTCGATTTTTGAAGATTTTTTGCTCAGTGTCTCTTCACATTCACATACTTTAAGTAAAAGTAGTCTGTAGCTTGTATGTTTATGCAGATACTATGTATTTAATTTTTATAAGGTACTCATGCAGTGGTATCTTGATAGAGATGAGAAGCAATAATGATAAGTCCAGTCAGGCAAATTTCCCTTCAGTGTCTTTAAATGCCATTAGCTCTGAGCATCATCTGATTTTGTCTGTGGATGTTTTGAGAAAGATCTGGTCAGATCAAAGTAGTGTCAGAACTTTTCCATAATAATTTGTTTGCATTTAGTATAGAATAGAAATCGACTGAAAAATAGTGAAAGAACAGGAGATAGTAGATAAGTTCATATAGCAAATTCAGCCATTCAGTTTAAATCTGGGAAGATGCAACCAAATTTTCAAGCTCTCTCACAGAGCAGGTGTTGAACCTTGAGGTTAAGAGATGAGTGATTGTGCCAGTAACAAAAGTAAAGGGGAATTGGATTAACTCATTTCAATTATGACACTATTTGCAATCCTGACCGAGTTTGTCTACTCCCAGTCCTCATAATTACAATTTAACTTCCATGCCTTCTCCATACATGTGTTCCCATAAGAAAAGTTTCAATGAGGTCCTGAAATCAACATTGTCTTGATTAATTTTTTTATTTTGTTGCTTACATTTTTTAAAGTTTATATTCATGTCCAAAATCAGTTAAACTCAAGTCCCAACCTCAAGTACAGTTAAAGATCAATTAATAAAGTCAAAAAGTGCCTTGGAGTCATAGTACATTCTCAACCTGCATTCATAATTGAAAATGTGACCAAGTTGATGCAGACATCTGAGGCTGAGGAAATTTCTTATCAAGCATTCTTGTCTGGCTGTTGATTAACATTTTCATGGCAACTTTGCACATACTTTTGTAGAGGTAGAGTTGTACAGCAAGGTTTGTGATAATACCTTTTCATCTTTTTTATATATCACTCTAAATCCCTCTGTACATAGTTTCAGACATCGTTAATTAAGCTCAAAAGGAAAGCATGGCAGATTTTGCAGATGCATTCCATTAAATGTCAGCTTCCTCTCAAACTAACGAAGTAGTACCTGTCATCATAGAATACGCTTCATTGTTATGGGAAGTTGACATTGCTTAATGCTACTCATAAGCTCAAAAAAGTCAGCCAAGTCCTGCACCAGGGCCCTTGCAGAAGCTGAATTTGCAAAATCTCCATGTGAGGTGTTCTTTTTTTCATTCCGGTTGAAAACCTGGTGTTGGCAACCACAGATATGTCACAAGAAGTCTTTAGCCTTGCTCCGACTTATGATCTCTTGAAGTTAAAATCACTCAATTTAGTCATGATGCATCCATCTGGTCTTTTCTAGTCCATTATGAAATCAAAGTACGTTTTGCGCCGACATTATTTTTTTTGCATTTTCGTCAACGTATGTTGTTGATTCGAGCTGAAGGTTGATATCAACCCCAGTAAAAACTTGTGTATGTATTATATTGAATACTGGTTGGAATAAATTTTCTTGGTCGAAGAAGATTAGAGCAACTTTCATGTTTGTGTATGGGTGTTTAGGCTATGCATATTAATGCCCCATAGGATGAAAAAAAATCTGGAATTTAATAGCGCACGAAATGCTAGTGAAAAGAAGGTGGCATCGTGCCACCTTTGCCACGGACCGGAAGTACTGAATGACATTCCCTCCTCCTCTCCCCCAAGTTCGTGATGGAGCGGGGGTGGAGATAGATAGGATAATGGTTCCTACTCAAGAGAAAGGCGCGTGCACTCCGCATAACTCTGGTACTTGATTTTAAAAGGATTCCTCTCCCTTCGTCGAAAGCCTCGAACCTCTTTTCCTCCAAATATTCATTAGCTTTCGGACTCGTTTGTTATTCAGCAGTGATGGTGAATGTTTCGGCCAGTCATACTTAGCTTTCTTGGCTTGCTCGTGGAATACCATGAGCATGTTTGTTTTATTTCGAGTCGTGCGTTGGTTTTTTGCTGAAACGTAATGGCTTCTCTATGTACATCTCAAGAGAAAGTGAAGAAGCACGTCGCCCTGCATTTGTGCAGTCGAGGAGTAGGAGGACGGAAAAGCAAACGGGAGGATACGGTGGGGCGAAAGACCTATTACCTAATACCAGTCCCCGGAAGTCCGTATTAGGATATCGCATCGTATATTTTATGGCTGTTTCGGAAACGCTCGAACTCCGAGGGAGACTTCCGTTTCGTACTACCGTAAGGAGACTTGCTAACTGACGTTCACTGCCTACAGTCGCCAGACGTCAAGGTCAGACACGTTACAGAAAGTCTAGTCGGAAAGTCATCATGCAAATATGGATACAGTATAATAATTGTAATTCTCTGCACGCGATTTCTGTCTTGATCTCATCACGTAGATGTCACGTCTCGTCATAACGTTCGTTTCCGGTCAGATTTTCACTTTCGAAGGTCGTCGGGGTTTGTAGGTCGCACTGTCACTCTTTCTTTTCCCCCCTCGGCAAAGACTACACCTGACTTCCCCATGTCTGACTGGGATGTTGCATAATCCCAAAGGATCTCTCCTGTCTCCCTTCATTTTCAAGGCGAGTCGAATGCCCACAAATTGGGTAAGGTTCATCATCATCTTCACTAGGGGGAGCTCCTTGAGAGCACTGCCGTGTTTGTGGACGTTGTGGAAGCTCCCTCATTTTGCTCACTCCCATAAATCACCTAGATTGGTGGGGAGGGCTTCCCGTCCCTGTGTGCAAAGGCCAATCCGCAAAATCCCCGTCGGGCTCTGTGAATTGTTTTGGTTTCTCCCGTCGATAATTATCCGGTCTTTTTTCTTGGATTACACGCGTCTTTCGCAAAGGCCTAAAAAGACGCATCTTCAGGGCCAGAATAAGGGGGGGGGCCAAAGGGGCAGTTGTCCCGGGCCCCACTCTTCCAGGGTACCCCCGAAGGAAATTAAAAGCGTTAAGTTAAAAAGAAAATATTGTATTTGCGTAAAGTAGGGGGGGGGGGGGCAGGAATTCACTTGCCCCGGGCCTCGCAACTTCTTAATCCGGCCCTGCGCATCTTGATGGACGCAACGCTATTTCGTGGATATATAAGTTATCTACAGACATCTACGGAGCTGATGAAATATATCAATTAGTAAGAACGCTTCAGGAGCCTGACGAAGGGTTTTCATAGTGGCCTGTGAAGGAAAAATAAAGGAACTGTCTCTCCGTGCAAGTCATTCTCCTCCTATCGTTTCTATTGGAACGAGAACTGTGCCCGTGGTGGATGATGCAAAGGGACATCCCCGGCATTTTCCACCATATAAATGGATTGGCTGTCATTCCGGGAGCATTGCAAGAGCATCGCACGTGTTTGTTTCCCATGCCGCCACACGTTTTGCCGTGTCACTCTCGGTGAGAGAAGTTTTGGCATGACCAG